AGTAAAACTGCAGTGACAAAAAATGTTAGGTGCTTTGAGCAAATTTCACCTGTGAAACAACATCAGTTGGGTTAAGGACCTGGTGGCACTGTATGTAACAGAAGGGTTAGAATGTGTGGAGCTTGCAGTTGGCAAAGGTGCAGTTGAGAGCCTCGGATAAGGATAAAGGGACAAAAAAGTAATGTGGATGTCATTGTGGGAGTCTACTATAGACTTCCTCGCCAGGACAATGATGCCAACAAATTATTTTATGAGGAACTAAGGGACACTTCCAAGTCAACTGCCCCTGTCCTCAAGGGGGACTTCAACTTGCCAGAAATCAAGTGGGACCATTGCACAGCAGGTACAACACAGGCCAGAGGATTCCTAAATAACCTGGATGACAACTTTGTGGAACAGGTCCTAAGGGAGCCAACTGAGAAAGGTGCCCTCCTTGATCTGCTTCTTGTCAACATTGGGGATCTCATGAGTGAAGAGGAGATTGGCAGCTGTCTTGGCCACAGCCACCACAAAGAGATCAATTTTAAAATCTCTGTCAACAGGAGGAAGAGTGCCAGCAAAACCTCAGCTCTGGACATGAGGAGAGAACACTTCAGCCTACTCAGAAAATTAGCAAGTGTAGCTCCCTGGGAAAACATTTTTGCAGGTGCTGGTGTCCATCAGTGCTGGTCACTTTTTAAACATCACCTCCTAAGGGCACAGGAGAAGGCAATTCCCAAATGTCACAAGTCAAGCAGGCGAGGCAAAAGGCCAGCTTGGCTGAACTGGATTCTTCTTTTGGAAATAAGGTTAAAAAGGAAGGTGTATGCCCAGTGGAAGAAAGGTTAATTGGCACGGAAAGAATACAGAGATTCTGTTTGCCCCTGTAGGGAGAAAATTTGTGTGATCCAAGTTCAGCTGGAGTTGAAGCTTCCAGAAAAGGGGGAAAAAATAAAAAGAGTTTTTTTCAAATATAAATGGCAGGAGGCAGTAGAAATAACATTGTCCCATTAGAGGATGAAAATGGTCACCTCACAAACAGAGACCTGAACAAGGCAGAGGTGTTTAACAAATCCTTTGCCTCTGTCTTCAACACAGATGTCAGACCAAGGGGGTCTCAGTGCTCTGAGCTGGAGGACCATGACTCTGTGAATGATCAACTCCCAGCTGATGCTGAAATTGTGTGGGATCTGCTTCTCCAGCTGATCCCTACAAATCTATGGGGCTTGATGGTGCTCACCCAAGAATTCTCAAAGAGCTGGACGATGGCCATCTCAGAACCTCTCTCAATGATTTCTAAGAAGTCTCAGGAATCTGGAAAGGTCCCCAGCTGACAGGAATATGGCAAATCTTGTCCCAGTTTTCAAGAAGGGTAAGAGGGAGGATGCTGGAAATACAAGCCTGTCAGTCTCCCTTCAGTGCCTGGCAAAGCTATGGAGATTATTCTGGGAGGTATTGATAAACACCTGAAAGACAATGCAGTCATTGGTCACAGTCACGAGAAAGTCCTGCTTATTAAACCTGATTTCCCTTTTTCATCAATGTAACACACATGGTTGATGAAGGGAAGCCAGTTGATGTAACCTTTTCGGACTTTAGGAGAGCTTTCCATACTGTCTCTCCCTGTATCCTTCAGGATGAAACATCCAGCACACAGCTGGATAAACAAGCACATGATCTGAGGGGTGAACAACTGGCTCATGGGTCAGGCACAAAGGCTTATAGTGAGGGGGGACATCAGACTGGTGACCTGTCACTTGTGGGGTTCCACAAAGCTCCATTCCTGGCCCTGTGCTTTTCAACATGTTCATCAATCACTCGGACACAGGACTGGAAGGGATACTGAACAAGTTCACAGATCATACAAAACTGGGAGGAGCTGCTGCCTCAAAGGCAGGGAGGCCCCGGAGAGATGCCTCAACAAATCAGAGGACTGAGCAAACACTAATCATATGAAGTTCAAAAAGGGTGAGTGTTGGGATTTTAGCTGACTAGAGACTGGAAAAGTACAAGGCCGTGGCTAATTCCAAGTCCTGCACCTGCAAGACAGTGTGTCCTTGGGCCTAGCTGGGTATGATAACAAGTAGACAGAGAGATGTGGGAAATAGGGAATGTAGGCCCAAAAGAATGAGGAAGAGTTGATGGTATAGTTTAACCAATAGATCGCTTGGCTTACAGAATATTCATAAGCTTATTACTTGCTGTATAAGTGTCTGATCCTCTCTTCAATAAACGTAACTTGCTGATGGCTCATATTGAGCCCCAAGTTTTCCCTGCACCCGACACATGGCGCATACCCGACAAACAGACCATTCTGCAACAGGTGAGTGCTGTTTTCAGCACCTGGAAGGGGACAACTCTGGATGTATGCACAGATGGGGAATGAGATGCTGGAAATCCATGCCATGGTCAAAGACCTGGGGGTCCTGGGGTCCTGAACCTGAGTCAGCAGTGCCCTGGCAGCCAGGAGGGCCAACCTTGTGCTGGGGAGCATCACAGCCAGGCAAGGGAGGGGATTGTCCTGCTCTGCTCTGCTCTGGGCTGGCCTCGCCTTGAATGTTTGGTGTAGTTTTGGGCACTGCAATATAAGAAAGACATTAAACCATTAGACAGCATCCAAAGGAGGCAACAAAGATGATGAAGGGCCTAGAGGGGAAGCTGTATGAGGAGTGGGTGAGGTCACTTGGTCTGTTCAGCCCGGAGGAGACTGAGGGGAGACTTCATCACAGTCTACAACTTCCTTGTGAGAGGAAGGGCCGACACTGATCTCTTCTCTATGGTGACCAGTGACAGGACTCAAGGGAATGGCCTGAAGTTGTGTCAGAACAATATTAGAAAAAGTTCTTCACCCAGACGATGGTTGGGCACTGGAACAGGCTCCCCAGGGAAGTGGTCAAAGCAGCAGGGCTGGCTGAGTTCAAAAAGTGTTTGGACATTGCTCTCAGGCATGTGGTATGACTCTTGGGCATGGTGCTGTGCAGGGAGTTGGACTCAATGATCCTTGTGTCTCCCTTCTAACTCAGTTTATTTTGTGGTTCTGTGATTCTGTGCAAACAGTGAAGGAAGGAATATCTACAATGAGACACAACAGTAATTTCTTTTCCTCTGGTTTGGTCTTTTGTTATCATTGTCTATAATGTTGTGAAGTCAGGAGGACCCCACGCTGCTGATGCAAATGTATGGATCAAATGCAAAAGTAAAATTTGTATTTTATACCAGTGAGAGATTAATGTTGCATTTTGCTAAATATTTCAGATTAAGGAATTCTCTTCATTTTTGCTTCCTCCCTAGTTTCCATCCTGTTGTAAGCAGGACGATGGCAGCTGGTTAAGCACTCTCTGTTCCAGTGCTGACTTTGTCTGGTAGTGCCTGACACAATGGCTGTGGAGCCATATCTGAAACTTTCTGGAACATTTTCCAATTATCACATCTCCCTCCATGGCAATGAAGTCGAGAACACTAACAGAGATAGACTGCTAGCATTTACAGCACTACCTTATTAGTCCTGGCTTGGTTTAGACAACGCACTGGGTGGTATTCTAGTAGCTGGTTTATATTAGTTTTGCCTTAGCTGAGAAAGATACATTACCTGTAGAAAGAATAAAAAATACTATACACACACACACAAAAAAACCCAAACAAACCAAAAACCCACCTTTGTGCACACCTTCTTTAGCATGAGAACAAGCAAGGTTGAATGTGTCACTATAACAATAAAAAATTTTCAGTGCCCATATACAAACATTAAGACATTTGAAACATTCTCTTTTCTTTTTTTTTTTTCATAGTGTGCCACATATTTACTCCCTTTTCCTTTTTTATTACCAAGGAAATGAAGAAATTTTCATGAAAACAAGAGCTTATATTCTTAAAGTTTGTCAATTCCTGCTTATATTTTTCTGTTCTGAAGGGATCGGAGCTTTCTGTACAGGGCACCGTAATTGCTTCCAACTCAACGAGCTGTGATGAATAAGAAGCAGGAACTTTTAAACAAAGACCCTGTTTTCATGCAAATATTCTCAGTAATAAAGCATAGAGTAAAAGAAATATGTGAAGTTATGTTTTGCAGAACTGCTACTTAAAGCAAAGCAGCTTTGTAGAATGAAGCCAAGTCTGGAGTTTTCTAACTGCATGAAGGGGAAGTGAGTTTGAGCATTTTCTCAAGGGATCCCGAATGTCGCCAAAGAAGATTGTTAAAAAATAAAGACAGAATATATCCCAGCATAATTCTCATTGGCATCATCAACATCACTCCATGTGAAAAGATCCTAACCAGAACACTGGTTGACACTATTCCCACATTTCATGAATTCATTCTCACATTCCTTTATAAACCTAGAAACATACAGCCTCTTTCCCCCAAATATTTAGCAAGTAGGTTCTTATAAGCCATCTCTGAGTCATTGCTTCGGCCTACCTCATCTTAATTTTCCAAAATCAGCAGTAACCTAAGAAAAATAGAGAAGAATATTGGAACTGGGAACAATTTGTAGAAAAAAAAAATGTGAACAGCAATTAATAGTTTAGGGTTTGCTCCATGATAGCTCATTCAGTAGATAAATCAAAACCTAGACAAACTCCCTCCGTTTGAAGTTTTCATACATTAGTGCTACCAAGTAGTACTACCTGTAGTTTCTGACTACCTGTAGTTTCTCCTAAGCAGCAAATACCTTGGAATTGCCATCAAGGATACCTTTCTAGAGTGGTCCTTTGCCAGTAATATCACTAAGTGGAATGGGGACTATTTTCTCCTCAGGGAAGATGTGTCACAGCAGAGTCCTACCTCCCCAAATGCAATCAGGTGACTGATTATTGAACCACTCAGGAGAGTCTGTCAGGTATGTGAGACCAAAGGAGGAGAGCAGAGTCAAGCCCATGCAGTGTGTGAACACTGACTTCTACCTGCACAAGCATTAGGGCTTGCAGTGCTCATTGTTGCTGCCATCACTGGGCTGTAAAGGACACAACAGGACACTTCCACTGAAATTCTCTCCAGAAGAGAGGAAAAGCACCACCAGGTATGTAGTTTAAAGCAAACCATTTGGAGCTGCAGTTTCTTTATTCCTCAGCACATCTTCTGTCAGTTCAGCATGGATGATTTTCAGTCTGCACAGAAAGGGGCTTTCCAACGTAACTCATGGACATGACAAGACAGAAGTGTCAAAATAATTTTTTCTCGCTATGTCAATGAACAAAAAACCCAAGAGGCAGGAAATTCACATCCTCAAAGTGTACCCTTAGCCATCCAGTAATGCCATATCAAGCACTGTGCTGAAATATGGTGCATGTTTTCCAAACAATTCTCTTTGGTAGAAGTCAGATGACAGATTTAAGCCAAAAACCTACTCTCTATTTTGCAGCAAGTTTAAAAAACTTGAAAATATCTCTCCGCTTTTTCTGTGGACTCAGTTCCACGTCACTGCAAGATTGTAATATCATCTAGAAACCCTGGTAACTCCAATGAGAGACATCAGGCCCCATTCTGCCTGTCTTCACTTTCTAGTGCCAGTGGACTTGTTAGAGCTGATAATTCAAAAAATACAGTATTTATGATATTCATGATTTACTTTAAACCTCTTTCACAGCTTGATGCACATGAGGCAATTCAAATAGCCAAAACTCTGTTTTGCAGCTAGCACTTCATTCCACTGAATGGAAATGTTCACACATCTGTTGGTGGTGTATTGTTTCAGGCTGGCTGCAGAGCAATCAAGCCAGCAAGGCACGGACGTGGTGTCTCCACACCAGAGGAGAGAAACTTTCATTTTCTGGCAGAGGCAAGTGAGTTCTGCAAATGCAGAGCACAGAACAGCCTCAGTCCATGGCACTGAAGGACCAACACAGTCCCTCTACTCAAGGATGCCACAGGAGTTTCAATTTCAGCTGAATAACAGGTTGTCATTACAACTCTTGACAGGAGGATGATCTGTGCAAGCACTTTTCATTGCAAGGAGATTCCAGACTGTGTAATTAAACTCTGTTAATTCTGAAACAAAAACCCACCACAAAGCAGACAGTGAACTTAACCCCAGGTAGTTTTTCTTACTTAAATATAACCTGATAGTACTACTTTCAGAGTATCAGAAGTTCTTAAAATGGGAGATTAAAAATCTGCACTCTAAATTCACCGTATAAATTCTGTTGAAGTTACTATACACATACACATTATATATATGTAATGAGTATAGGTTGTGCAAATACACTCTACAACGTATATTTATATGAAAGAGAAGCCATGTACCATGTAATTGCCCGTTTTTAGATCACCAATTCTTTAGGGTAGGAATAAGTTTTGTATCCTGTGCTGATCCATTGTCTGGCAGGGTGGGTGGTGTTCCAGGATGCTCCTAGGACTTCTGGCCAAGTGATTACTGGAAGCAGTCATGAAACATCCATATCTTCCAACAACACGAATCAAAAATCTTAACTGTAAAACAGAGAAAGAAATCCAGCCACGTTTAATATTACTTGAGTTTCTACTCTCCATCCCCACAGGTGCTTTACCCCCATGTTTGTTTCACAAGGGCATGTAGTGGTAGGACAAGGGAGAAAGGCCTTAAGATGAAGACTTAGATTCGATATGAGAAGGAAGTTCTGGACTGTAAACTGTAAAGGTGGCGATGTACTGGAGCAGGTTGCCCAGAGTGCTATCTGGAGGTGTTCAAGGCCAGGTTGGATGGGGTTCTGAGTAACTTGGTCTAGTGGAAGGGGTCCCTGCCCATGGCAGATGATTGTTAAGATCATTTAGATTCCTTCCAAACCATTCTGGAATTCTGTGATTCTTTTTCCTGCCTTGAAACAGTTTGAAAAAATAAATAATATTTCCAGGGTCTTTAAGGCATGGTCCAAGCCTGACTGAATTTAGGAATGTGTCTCTTCTGAGAAGGCACAGGGCTCTTTACAGGATCCAAAGTGATACTCCTGGATATGGAATTATTTCTGATCTACTAAACCATGCCTGCTTATTTCAGGCATTTTACTCATCCATGCTATAACAGTCTGGATCGTCACTCCTGGCTCTGTCACATCTTCCTTTATCCCCTTTGCTTTGTGTGCGTACTTTGGATTCAGTCACAGCACAGTACCAGTGTGATACGGAAGTTACTGAGACCCTCAGCAGGAGGCTGGGTTGAGAACAATTATCTGACAGAATTGTTTAGCAGTGCAGCCCAATCCATGTTACGACCCTTTTTCTAAATGTAGATCTAATGGCACATTAAAGCAATATTACATCTCGTAAAGCCTGCTGGGTAAGAGTTCATCGAGGTTCCCCTTGCTCCCCTTCTGCACAGCAGTTCCTTTGTTACTGCCTCGCCTCTACATCCTGTGATGGACGGGAGTCCCGTGCTCCTCTAACACTAAAATGGGGCTGCCAAGATAATTTACGAGCCCTGTGGCCAACAAAAACTCTCAAGCCTCCTTGGGTTATCTCTAAGTCCTACTTTTCTCTGCCCATTGTGCCAGCTTGTCCTCTCAGATTTTACAGATAGCAGGAAAGGTTTTGGCAACACAAACATCCTTCAGAGTGCTGCTTTTAAACAATAGTCTTGTCCCAGCTTTGCCTGTGTCTGAGGTGGGGCTTCCAGACAGAAAGCAGAAAAGCAAACATAGGACTGGGGGAAGAGGGGAAAGAGGGGAAAAGAAAGAGTGGGACAGAGAAGAGGACAGGTTTGTTTGAGCTGGGTTAGCTGGGGAGATGCAGGCCAGGTTAAGGTGCCCATGCACAGCCCAATGGACGAGCATGTCCTGGCTGGGGTGTGTGAGGCAGGGCTTCTCCTGGTTCTCTTAGCACCTTCGGATTTTGCACTAGAAATCCAGGCTCGGTGTAAACAGCACGACAGCCCATGACTGCCTTTTTCTGCAGGACACAAGAGAGTGAACTAAGGTGCTCGCTACGGCCTAGATCTGGGCAGGAAAAACACACAGCTGCCTTTCCACTGGGCCCTTCCAGGCCCCGAGAGACTGGATACCCAGACACAGGTGGAATTTCTGCAGAAGAAACCCGAGGCACAGCACAGGAACCCCGCAGCCCTCTTCATTTCAGCGCCCTGAGCCCAAAGCTGCACGCGTTTGGGTTGCGGTGGATTTTGGGCTCCCCTCCCGCCCACCAAGCGGCGACCCGGGGCGGCAGCGCTCGCTGCCGCCGCAGCGCGGGGTGCGACAGCGCGGGGTGCGATGCCGCGGGCACGGCCGGCCGAGCGGGGCCGAAGGCGCGACTGCGCTCCCCGGAGCCGCCTGCGCGCCCGGTCCCGGGGACACCGGGAGATGCGGGGAGCGCTGCAGGGGGAGCCCCACGGGAGCGCGGCCCCTCCGCCGCCTCCCCGCGGCCCGGCCCCCGCCCGGCGGAGAGGCTTCGCTCTCCGTTTCCCGGGGAAAGCCCAGCCCAGCGGCGGCCACGTGTCCCGCAGGGATCGCACCGGGCCCGCCGCGGCCCCGCCGGCCGGTGCGGCGCAAAGTGCGCGCTACCGCCGGCTCCTCCTCCGCTCCGCCGGCAGCTCGGGCGGGGTGGCGGAGGGGATGTCCGCCGGAGGCGCGGAGGCCGCCGGCCCTCCGCCACGGCCCTGCGCGCGTTTCTTGCTCCAATAAGCAATAATTAGGTCCTCAGCTAATGAAGTGTCAGCTGATCCCCTCGCTCCGTCTGCGCGCGGGGAGGCGGGGGGCTGCGCCCGGAGACATCGCCATGGAAACGCTGCCCTCGCCTCTCTCTCCCCCGCCGCATCCCCCACACCCCCCGCCGGCCCGGGCCGGGTGCGCGCCGTCCCCCGCGCCCCGCCGCGCCCGCGGAGGCGGGAGCATCCCGACATGGGACAGCGCTGCCCGTCACCGCGCCGCGCCGCCGTCGCCACAGAAACTTTTGTCCCGGCGGCCAATCAGGGCGCGGGGGGGGGGCGCGGAGCGGCGCTGGGCCCGGCCCGGTGCGCCGCCGCCGCCGCCGCCGCCAGCCCGGCGCGGAGCGCAGCCCAGCCGAGCGGCGCAGCCCAGCCCAGCCGAGCGCGGCGCGGCGCAGCGGCGGCCCCGGAGCGCACCCCGCGGGCGGCGCGGGCCCGGGTCGTGCCCCAGGCGCGGAGGTGCCGCACGGCTGCGGAGCGGGGGCGCGGAGCCCGGCGCTGGATGGCGGAGGCGCGGGCGGGCGCGGCCGCGGAGAGGCGACGAGAGGAATCGGCGCGGCGGAGCCTTTTTCCCCCCCCGCGGAGGGGGTGTCCTGCCTGACGCGGCGGGGGAGACCGGGGGAGCGCGGAGATCTCCGGCGTGAACTGAAGCTGTGGCAAAGGGAGGGGGAAAAAAAAATAATCAGGATTTTTTTTCTTCTTCTTCTTCCAGCCTTTACAAAAAGGGGGTTTATGCTTAGCATCCGCACGCAAACTTACTTGAATGCCTTGTAGCCAGTTTAGCCCAGAGACCAAAGGATACCCCGCACCCGAGGAGTCCTACATGTGTGAGCACCATCATTACACTGGCAGAGCAACGAGAGCCGCCTCCTTTCCTGTACCAACATCCTCCTGGGACTGATCTCTCCTCTGGTCCAATATCCAAGCCTGTTTCATATATATGGGTTTTCTTTCTTTCTTTCTTCTTTTTTTTTTTTTTTTTCCTTCCATCGGCTGGGATCGCTATGTAAATAAACAGAGGAAAATTCCTGAAAGGGCATATGAAAATTCAATGGGACTCAATATGAGGAAGTGAAATTTTCACAGACCATTTTTTAAAAATTAAAAATTATGTACTTTAAACGCGGATCGGATGCATTAGGCTTAGAAAATAGCAGGTAAGAACTTTCTTTCTTTCCAGTACCTTCATGCCCGGAGCGGGGATATCTGAAGCAAAGCCGCCCAGCCTTGGAATAAAGGGGGAGCAAAGAGACCAGTGTGCCCTTCAGTGCTTCTTCCATCCTGCGCGGCGAGGCGGCTTTGGGGAGAGGCACAGCCCGCCAGGACAGAGACAGAAAGCTCAGAAAGCCTTCGGAGAAGACAGCCGAGGGCTGCCGGGGCGGACTAGGGTGGGCTTTTTCTCTTCTTTCCGTTCTTTTTTTTTTTTTTTTTTTCCTCCTCTTCACCTGCACTATCCAGGTTGAATCCGGGTGCAGTTGATGTATGGAAAAGAAGAAGGATCCGAGTCAATATTTTCTTTTTCCTTCGGTAAGCCGAGGGATGGGATTTTAATTATTTATCCAACCGAACCCTCTGTGGGTAAGGCGCTGCTGCTGGAGCCAGTGGGATAGTCCTGCCTTGCACAATTATTAAAGAGACTGATCACGTACAGTGGAAGGATAAGAGGAACCTCCACCAGATCCGTTTTGCCTCCTGTGAAAAAAAAAAAAAATAATGAAGGAGAACATTGCCACACTATTGAATTGATTGCTGCCCCCCCCACCCATCCCGCTCCCGACCCCCACCCCCCCCGAGCCACCACCACCACCACAACAAAAAAAAAAAAAAAAAAAAAAAAAAAAAAATCCGCTGGGATCTGCCTGCACCGGGACCTCCTTCGCTCCGGCTCGGAGGTGGATGCATTTTTCATGAGCGCTGGGTGAACAGGTGCAAAGTGCGGCGGGGCGGCCCGGCCCCGTACCCCGGCCCGCTTCGGGGCGGCGTGTGCGTGTCCGTGTGTCTGCCCGTGTCTGTGTGCGTGTCCGTGTGTGTGTGTGTGCGCCCCGGCGTGTGCATGTGTGCGTGTGTGTGTTAGGAGATTATGGAGAGCAGCGACCGGGACATGTACCGCCAGTTTCAGGACTGGTGTCTCAGGACTTACGGGGACTCAGGAAAAACCAAGACGGTGACCCGTAAAAAATACGACCGGATCGTCCAGCTCCTGAACGGCTCCGAGTCGAGCTCCACGGATAATGCCAAATTCAAATTCTGGGTCAAATCTAAAGGCTTCCAGCTCGGCAACTCGGACGAGGTCAGTGGTGGTGCTGGAGGAGGGAAGCAAGTGCTGTACGTGCCAGTCAAAACCACGGTTAGTAGAGAATTGTCTTCCTTGTTCTATGTCGGCCGCTGCAGCCCGCTCCGGGAGCGAGAGGCGCAGGGGGAGCCGCAGCCACAGTTGGCTCCTTCCTCCCTCTTCCCCCAAGTCATCATCACCATGTTGCGTTTGCCTGTCACATTATACACCGCCGAGGTCTTTGTGGGTCCTTTTATTTAAAGCGATCGTGCGCACAACGCGCCCCGCCGGGTCGGTGTCGTTCTCCTCCTCGTCCTCCTCGTCCTCCTCGTCCTGCTCGTCCCTCCCGTCCCCCCCGGGCCGCTGCGGCGGGCTCGGGGTGCGCTATTGTCCCGCCGCCGCCGCCGCTCCGGCCATTGTGCTGGGCCCGCGCCCCGGGCAGCGGCCCCGCTGATGGATGGATGGATGCATGGATGGATGGATGGATGGATGCATGGATGGCGCACGGGGGTACCCTGCCTGGCACAAAGCCAGGCGCGGCGCCGGGCGGTGGTTCCCCGGGATCTCTGCTGGGCTTTATTTATTTATTTATTTATTTGTTGCTAGTATGATTTTTATCCCTTTTTCCCCCCCCTTATTGTTATCCCGCAGCCCTGACGCCGCCGCCGAGCGGCCGCGAATGTGCCCGGCTGGGCTGTGGAGCGCCGGCTGCGCTAGCGAGGGGCGGCGGGAGGGAGAGAGAGGATGCTCAACAAAGGGAGGACGGGGTTCCGCATGGCCGGGAGAAGGGTGCGTTTTGTGACACTTTGCGGGGTCGCAGGAGTCCCTCAGCACTCCGTTCGATGCGCTAGGGTAGCGTGGCATCCCCGGCAGGCGCTGGCGTTTCGGGCTCGGCGCAGGTCTGACAGCGGGAGAGCTATTATGCTTGGTGGTGGCAGGAGCGACAGATTTTCCTATTTAAGAAGATGGGGACTGTTGGTTGCAAGTAGGTTTTGCCTATTGAACTCTCTTAATGTATCATTATTCTTACTTCTTATGCGCTGGGTCACGCAAGCTAAGCTTCTTTTGTCTGTGCGTGGGGCGGGTGTGGAGGGGGAGCCGAGAAAGGAAACCCGGCAATTAAAAATATTCCTGCCTGGGCATTTGGCTTGGATGAGCAATATTCTCTCTTTTTTTTTTTTTTTTTTTTTTCCTGGAGTGGCAGCTTATCCAGAGCTAACGGGAAGGTTGCTGGGTGGCGCAGCAAAGGGGGCTTCTTGGAAAGTATTCTGGGCTGGGTTGTGACGTAGGCTGCCGGGGAAATCTGCCTCTCTTTGCCTTGCTGAAGTCATAAACCTGGGCATTCCCAGCGGCTGCCTTCTATTTGCCCCCTTGTCATCAGCGCCGTCGTGGCTCTGAGGAGGCAGAAGTGGGAAATTAATTTTAAGGAGATCTTCAATATGAAGATTTAAAGTAAAAGAGAAGCTCTGGACAGTTTTTTCTTTCTCTATGGTTTTTTATTCACTGAAGTGTTTCAGGTCTGTCTGTAGATTCAGATGATTTGGCAGATCTCTATTTTAGTGTTACAAGATTGATTGCTCATCTCTGAGCCCAGACAGTACCATAGATACAATTTAAAACAGAAAGGTTGCCTAAAGCAGGAGTCTCCAATTAGCTTAGTATTTTTAAATATCTCTTCTGCTCACTGAAATAACTATTTTGAAGGGCCAGTGGGCAAGATTGTTTATTCCCAAGACTATTTTTTTCTCTATGAGTTCAAAACTATAAGCAAATTCAGTATTTTTAAAAATGGCATTGACTACTCTACTAAATAAAGAGGATAACCCTTATTTTACACAATTGAATTTAAAAATTAAGTGCTTTTCTGGTCCTTTGAAACACAAGACTCAGTGATGATAAGCTTGTTTATTTTCTCTCACTTTTGCTAGGCCATGAAAGCCTGGAGTCCCACCTTCCATCCTGTTTTCTATTTTAAGAACACAGAATCAATTTTTATTTTTATTTTTTTCCCACAAGGGATTTCAGTGAGAGGTCGAGCATCTTGCAGGTCTTACCTTATGTACATTTGTGGGAATCACACCCTTAGCTGTGAATGTCTCTGTATGCCCCTATACATGTATTTATATTCATATAGGAGTAACTCTCTTCATATAGTTTAGCAACCAAGCAGGAATTCTAATAAAACTAGGACTGGCAATGAAATCAAGAAAGGAAAAGTTAGCATGATCTATCTGTAATATCAGAATATACAGAATATCTGTATATAACCTGAGCAATGATATATAATCCTTTTCAGAATACATACATACAATTTCCTCCTGCTGGCCATCAGAAATTTGTTGTGCAACAAAAATAGGAAAAGGGGATGCTCTGCAACATTCAGCTCTGAAAAACAATTGCCAGCCCCTCCTAAACCCATGAATCTGGTGTCACCATCCCAGCACAAAAGGCAGAGGAGTATTTGAGCAGACCCACAGGGTGGCAGTGGTTTGTATGAGCTGCTGCCAGGGCTGGGGCAGTGCCTGCCAGGCACTGAAGGCTCAGAAAGAACATGTTTGACAGAACAAGGATGCAGCCCCTGGCACAGAGAAAGTCAGTGGCAAAGCTCCTATTGGCTTCAAGAGGTCTAGAATTTCGCCCAGATGGGAATGATAAGTTACAGGGGGAAAAAATTGGATTTTCATCAGACAGTAATTGTTGGTAAGCCTTAAAAGCCCATTCTGTCATTTCTTTAACTCTTAATTATTATTTAAGAGTTTTTAAATTTGTGATAATTTTTGTTTTTTCCTCCCCTCTCTCATGGTTATCCCATACATTTGGGCCTGTCCTCAGAGACAGCCCCAAAAGGTAGCAGAGCTCCAAACTGTGAATTTCTCCTTCACCCTCTCCCTCTTTTTGTCCATTACTTGATCTCACCATAGGTAAAATTAATTTCAATTTAAAATTAATCACTGCATGAGCACTCCCTGTTCAATAAGAGGGCGGATGAAATTGCAAGTTGGACTCTACAGTTACAAGCTGGTCAAAAATAAGGAAATATTCAAATACTTTGTTAGGAATTACTCTCTCCTTGAAGCTTTAAGATTTGCTGCTCAGCTTTGCTGTCAGCCAGAGAGATTTGCTCCTGATGGTGCTGTAATCCACTGCTGCTGGTAATTAGACATCATTACTGCTGCGTTAAAGGGAAAGAGAGAAGGAGAGAGGACAGGCTGGGGCTAATTAACTACTTGATTCTAATGAAAGAAAGAGAGCCTGATAGCAACTGGGAGGTTGCACCGGAACAGCCTAGATGTACAACACAGACTTAATTGAAGCAGGGTGTCTTGCAGCCTCACAGCAGCTCAGCCTTGGTCTTCTTTCATATTCTGTGGGCAGTAGTGCATGAGGTATTCTGCTCTTCCCTTGCCTGCTTGATAAGTAGCTCAAAATCACAGGCCTGCCTTCAGTATCAAGTTTAAGCATGCCAGCAAGGAGAATGCATAGATGATGATGTGCTGGCTTAATCTATTTTACGGGTATGGTCTCCTCAAGAGCAACAGGAACAAATCAATTTCTGAATGTTCACATCCCTCTGTGGCCTAGGAGATGCACTTTTGGTCACCAGGCAACAACATTCCCTGCAAAACAGCCATTTTAGGTCCAGAGTGGGACAGCACACAATAAGGTATTTCTGTATGCTTTAGGTATTCCTGTATGCTACCTAGTGAGTGTTTCACTTCTGCAACTTTTCAGATTGTTTCTGTCACCACTGAAGGTTTTCTTGCATCAAGCCCAAGCTGCACTTTGTGAAAGCAGTGAAATGATGTCCAGCCTGGACACACTGTATAAATAAAACAGGTTAGGCCAACAAATATGCCAAATGGTTGCTACTGTAGACTTTCAACAGTTGGTACTTACCAACCATGAGGAGGGGTATGGAACTAGTATCTCTAGTAGGATATCCTTTCTAACTATGTACATGATTTTTATGGTGTATTTTTAAAATTTCTTTTTTGTGTAGTTTCTTTAGCTGGAGCTACTTATTGATTGGCAGCTTGAAAACAAATTTCTCCTCACCACTTTGCTTTCTCTGGCTTGATGTTGTGTGTGGACACAAATATGGACCCTAAAAATTAGTCTTGATTAAAAAAGAAGTTATAAAATAATAGCCTAAGCTGTATCAGCAGACTTTAAGCAGAATTTTCCTTTAAAAAAGAAGGGCCAAGATGACTGCAGGATAGCCTTTAAATATAAAATTTACACAGTATTAGCAAACTAATAGAATATAACCTCAAAGGCCAAGTTCAGATTACTTTTATGTCATTACTAATTTGAAATTACTCCATTGGCTTTAATGATATCACAGACCTAATGTATGAATTTTCCTGTGTTTTCTTCTATATTTTCCAAATATAAGCACAGAATGAACTTTCATTCTGAAACCGAATTTTGTTTAGCTTTAATCTTTAGATCTTCCAGGAGGATCTGGTACCTCATGGGTTGCTGCTAGCAGACCAGCAAGGCTTTGTGCAGGTGCAAGGCTGTACTACTGAACCTGATTACAGGATTTAAGGCTTAAAATTATAGACCAGTCAGCTCTAAGGAACAGGCTATGTCCCAACCCACCTCTTGTTCTGTTGGACATGAATAATAGTAGATAGATACAGTTTATATTCCTTTTCTTTTTAGATAGATTACTCTGTTTATGAACAATAGAAAAAAACAGATCACAACATAAATAGCTTATAGGTCAAAATTGATTGCTTTAAACTATCTCACATTTAAAATTGTTCATTATTTTAGGGCATTTTGTAGCAATTTGAAAAGAAGCTTTTTTTTTTTTTTTTTGCATTTCTCCCCATTTTTGTACCCATCCATAGAAAAAAAATTATAGAAGTGTTTGTCAAATGTACAGTGGTAGCTCTGTAGCCCAGTGAACTGCCAGCACATAATGGCAGTAAGTACCGCAGAAAGGT